TGCATGTTTTGTCATGTTATTTAAAAGCTCATTACCGCCTCTGTCTGAAAGCTCCTTGTTGCTCTTCTTCCAGACAAAATGACATACATGGGCCAGAGGTTTTGTGTTGTTGTTTATCCCGCTGAAAGTGGCAGCAGCAAGAATGGAGATGGAGAGGAAGGAGAAGAAATGAAGGCAGTCAGGTCCCCTTTGTCCACGGAGGACGGAGACAACCACAAGTCAGTGGACTGCTAAAGTGCATATCTCTATCTCCCACCTTCCCCTAAATAAACAGACATATGCAGACATATGTGGGTGTGCAACCATACTGAACAACATTATTGCCTCCACACTTTGTTTTTAATATCTTTATTTTAATATTTGTTTGTCAGACTTTTCTGTCTGGGGTCCTTCAATAATGCAATAAAGAAGGATTAGCAACTTCCAACTCTTTCACACAATTAACCTTTTACTACTCTTTATCATCATCATCACCACCCTGCTTCTGATCCTCCCCACCTTCCTGGACACATGCCATATACACTCTCACTGTAAGAGCATCATTCTTTAGTATTTTTAATTATCAGAAGACTCGTACTGTGCTGCACTGGCTGCACATACTCATTTTTGCCACATTGTAAATTGTGCTCTGTCATGCATTCAACACACCAAAGGTGTATTTTGATTGTCAAAGCAGGAAATCACGTTCAGATCAAGTCATGTATAAAGTACACTAAACAGTGTGTGGCTGTGATTCTAAAATGTTTCTTATTTTTGTAATTGTGATTGTTTATTTGCCTTTGTTATTATCTCGGTTTTAATATGATTTTAGTTTTGTTCATATTCCTTTTTTTTAAAAACTCAATATCACATTAGTCCGGGCCTTTTTTTTACTCTTGAAACTGCAGATATTCTCAAAACCTGCATGTGAGGTATACTTTGTATTGGTAAAGCTGCTGTGCAGTTCTCGTTAACTGGCTGAATTGCAAAATATTCTATACTTTACAGCTGTTTTTTTTACTGATGCAAAGTGGTGGTTAATCCTCAAACTTTTGGATAGCTTTCAATTTTTATGAAAGCAACAGCAGAAAAGTACTTTTTAATATCTGAGGGTTTTGAGGTCTCGACTGACACTAAACAAATAGTTAACTCGTTAAACTGCAAGTCCAGCAAGGACACGGATGACTAGAAAGACGAAATAGACACGTGATGTTTCCCAGCATCTCGAAACTGACACGTGAATGAATGCCTACTGAATGTGGAAAACAGTCTCAAAAAGGCATTGATTGTCTTTCATGTTTTACAGTGCAGTATTTTTGTACCTTACCATCTAGCTGTGTTTAAATATTTTGTGTGCTATAGTTAGGGCATAGAAGTGAGAGCTTTACATAAAACATATTTTTGATTTATACAATTCAGTAGAAGATATTAGTGGAATATTAGTCAGGCACCAGCAAAAACTGAATCTCCACCCCTGAATGAATCTGTTCTTTGTTGTCAGCTAATAGTTATGTCTATTATAATGCTGTATGTAATAGTAACAACACTTTTGCACATGTAAGCACACAATATGTACTTAAATGTCTTCAGTCTTTCTGTAATGTAGTGTCTCAGGGCATCCCTACTGCCTTCTCCTTACATACACTGCCATGAAAATACAACAGATCTGACTGGTTGCCTTTGAAATCCACTTAGTTAGTGCTTAATGTCTGTACTGTGCTTTTAGGTATTTATTTCCTCAGGAGCCTTAATCTTACAAGCAACCCCACGAAGCTCATAGTGGACAAAAAGTGCAGAATAATTATATCATTAAAATTGGGCCAGTATTGTAAATGTTGCTCTTGTTATAGTGTAAGGAGGAACAGGGTGTAGTGGATGGCTTAACAAATACTATGATGTGTGTTGTGCAGGTATGATTATTGTATATTTGCAGTATACACAGATGTCAATACAGTCTGTATGTTGTCTCTAAGTTAATAAAAACCACTGATTAATGTTTGAATTTGTAATATAGGGCATTTATACAAGAAGTACCCCCTGGCTTTATCTTTATTCCACTGTATGACCATTTCAGAGAAATTGATTGCATAAAATACTTTCAAGACATTTTCCTCCATTTTTACCAGACAGCAATCACTATGTGGTCTTTCTCAGCAGCACCCTTACTGTACATAACTGAGGCCTGAATGCTGCAGCTTTGTATTATATGGTATTGCAACATGTGCAGACATCTTCATCACAATTTCAAGTCTAATTCTGCATGACCTACTGCTTTAAATATAAAAAGCGCTTAACAGTGCTGATATCTGACTTCGGTCTTACTTTATTGTTGCCCATTTTCCCTGAGAAGCTGCACTTTCAGCATTAATTCAGACCATAACAGGCCTTCACTGTGGTGGAAATATGAAGTTTTCTACACTGTTGATGAATGCTGGTAATCTAAGCAATTCTCTTAGCAATACATTAGAACATTACTTGATTAGAATGTTAATTCTAAACAATTCTGTGTACACACTAGTCTCCAATATGAGTCGACCCTATTTGTGTACCTATCATGTTGAAAGCCATTTGACTGACATAACTTAAATCTCTTTGTGTTGAAAATGTAGCTGTATACTGTATCTTGGTGGTGAGTGTGTGGCAAGAATAAAACAATAAATGTACATGAACAAAACTTTTCATTTCTCCTTTGTTCAGCTCTGTTGAAAATGTTAGATCAGGGGTTTTCAACCAGTGGTTTGTGGGCCCCCCTTGTGGACAGCAAAGGCATTGCAGATGGTCCCTGCATGTTATCAATAATGTAGGTTCATTGTAGGAATCAATATATTTTTTTAAACATTTCCATGTATTATTTGTTTTTTTTTGTGAATAGTCTAATTCATACAAATATGTACAATTCAGAAAAGCCAAGGTGATTTTCAGGATTAAAATATTGCACAGTTAGTTGGTCTATCCACCCCACAACAATGGTCCTCCAGTGGCTACTTCAGAATGGTGGTTCCTGGGTCAAATTAGGTGAAAAACCCTGTGTTAGATGAATGCACACAAAATAGAAAGGTGAGGCATTTTCAGCATCAAGACTGTTTATTCTGCGGACCATGGCATTGGTGAGGTTCACACAGCTCTGAACACACTGAAGTTGGCCATATGGCTCCTGACACACAAAACTAACAATGCCCAAACTGAAGTCACTGTCAGACAGGACCATAGCTGGCAGGCTCTTTCTCTGCTCACAACAGTAAAATACTAAATGGATATCCTCAGTCTATTTATGAAGCAAATGTAAAACAAACTATGCATGATTTAGAATGAGAGGTATTAAGTTTTAATGCACATAAAAACACATTTTACTTCTTACCATTTTGGGAAGTAGGTTGTCTAGTGAACAGATGCTTTGCTTCTTGTTAGCAAAATATAAGCACTTCTGAAGCTCATTAATTAAAACATTATATCTTGTTTAATCCTTAGAAAAAAAACAAAGTTTAAAATGATAATAAGCATATAACAGTTATTTTGTATGGATTAAACAAACAAGATATAGCATTTGAACAAGTGAGTTTTCCATTCGACAAAGTCAGACATGCTGTTTCCAGTCTTTATACTAAGCTAAGCTAAGGGTCTGCTAGCTCTAATGTTTAACAGACATAATGGTCAGACATGACACTGGTACCAGTATTCTTGTGTAACTTTCTACCAGAACGTGAATAAGTGTACTTCCCAAAATGTTTAACTCTTATTTAAATGTGCTTCACAAATCTAACTGAGCTATATGTCTGAAGCTGAAGAAGTAAACCTCATTTTATGTCATACTCAGAAGCCAATGACTGTGATCCAAGGATGGGGTTCCCTATAATATCTTTAGGCTTCAATTATCTCTGCTTCATTGTGAGTCAAAGAAACAAAGATGACCTCTGTGCTTTAACACTTTGGGAAACTCAGCCTTGCCTACTTCAGAGCTGTAGAAATAAACACAAAAGGTCATGGCAAAAAGTTTTCTATAACAGCCATATTAGCTCTATGCTGTGAATCTATAGCTAAAGCTTGTTGAATTTTGAAAGTAGCATTGCCTTTTTTTACCAGCTGAGCTTTAACATCTCGTCACTACAGTGGGAAACTGTTTGCAGCACTTTTGTCTGCCACAAGTACAACCTGATAGAACTCTTTCTGCCAATGGCTCTGTGTTGCCAACCAAGTGACTGCAACTAGTGGCTGTGTGTCTTCAATGTATTCGCTTAATGTGGGCATCGCAAAAGCTAAGGCATGTTTTGTAGTGATGTCTACAATGAAAGCTTGGAGTAGAAGGTTCTGAGAGAGCAGAGCGCCTGTCCTCCTCGCAGAGCAAGTACCAGATGGAGAACGGAGCCTCCCTGGATTTTATAGTCTGCTGCAGTTTTCTCATCATTCCTGAGAATAGAGAGGAAAGGGGTGCAGGATAGAAGACAGGATAAGTTTTCTATGTTTCACCTGCCTGCAAGGCAAATTCCCCCCTGTGTACAATAAACTGTATCCTTTAGTTAAGACAGCGTATCTTGATCTTACATCTGTTTTCCACTGTAGATCAACCTCTGCTGTTGGGGAGGGATCCCCTCTTTCTCTTCCACCCTTTCTTTAATCCGCTCTACCTGGACGGAAATGAATGCAAACCATATTTCTAAATGCTCAAACAAACACTAAATAACATGTTGTTAACACAAAGCTCGAATGAGGAGATGATCATCACATACCTTATCAGTGGGCTCTATGTCAATCTCTATCTCCTTCCCAGTGAGCGTCTGTGGCAAAAATAATTTCAGGCGATCGTAATACGAATTATGATGCAACTCGGTGACTCAGTAATAACAACTGTTCCAATGACAAACCGGGATAAGCGTTGTACTTGCTTTATCTTACCTTCACTTTAATCAGCATCTTTGAATCAGCAGTACCACTACGCGTTAACTGAACCTATGATTTGACTAAGTGCCAGAAGAAAAACAATCTTTCAACAATGCTGTATATTGGGAAAGAAATTCAACATTTCTTATGTTTCAAAAATTCAATGAGTGTTTCTCATCGAATCCCGCCGCCACCTGGTTCGGATGTAAACAGTTCCGCTTCAACTTGATTTCGAACTTGGCTTTTACTTCATTTCTCGTCAAAAAAACAACTTTAAATCTTCCTTAAAAACGATCTTACATTAACGTGAGCATCGCCCCCACAACGACAAACGGAAGCCTGCTCATAAATACGTAAAACAATCCTTACGACATCAGCGTGACGTCGCGTTTTGCGCGTCTCGCATTTGTAGTTTTTGCTTGCGGTTCGACTACAAGTTGACACCCTTCAAAAACTACAAGGCGGATGTCAAAGTGTCCGCCCCCGAAAAGCGTCCCGCGCAGATAGTGGAAAAGGAAGCAGTGCCATAGACAAAACAATCACATTTCCCCAAGGTAAGTTTTTGTCAAATTCACAAGATATCTAATTCGTTCACTTATTACTAGCTTATACTCGAATAAACGAGTTGAAATGCTAATTAAGAGGATTCAATTTTGACTGTAAACTGTTCTGACCTTGAATTTTGACATGGGGTCATTATGCGCCGCGCTGTGCTATGGTTTAGTGTGAGCAACATTAGCACTAGCATGTTCATTATCGTGTAAGTAGTTTTAAATAACCACCTAATTAAAGATAGCTGTATTACATCTCCACAAAGCAGTAATTACAGTTCTAGGTAAACGTTGGCTCGGCTTTTGAATGGGTTCTCTCCAGACCATACACCCTGCCTGCTTACTGGCTTTTGATGACTGTTTTACCTGTATGACTGTATAAAGGGGGGAGAAGAGGGTGCGAAAATGACAAAAGACTGCTCAAAGTAAATATTCTGACCTCCTCTGTTTCAGAAAGTCACGTTCCAGGGCAAGGAGTACTGCTTCATCTCACGTCTTTGTTACACTACCTCTACTTGACACCCTGCTTCCAAAATGCCTCGGATTGAGAATGACATCAAGCTGGACTTCAAGGATGTGCTTCTTCGTCCAAAGCGAAGCACACTGAAGTCCCGGAGTGAGGTGGGGATAGCTATGGATGTTTTCCACATGAAACCTGGCTGACAGATGTTTCTGTTTTCTGAACCCTGAGTAATTCTAAGTTATTTTTGAGTAAGCACACATGGGCATTTGTTAGTCAATGAAGGAGAGAAAAGCGTTAGTCTCCATTCACATTTTAGTTGCTGGTCAGAAAATTCAAGCACTGGTTCTCAAGACTGATGTCTACATCTATTAAACATAGACTCCTCCTTTCATAGTTACTGTATCTGAACATCAACTGCACTAAAGTCTTGTTGTCCTCGTCTGTTTGAGGTGGACTTGATGAGGAGCTTCGCCTTTAGGAACTCCAAGGGCAGCTACAGAGGGATCCCCATCATTGCTGCTAACATGGACACTGTGGGGACCTTTGAGATGGCACTGGCTTTGCACCAGGTAGAATACACATTACATGGGATGTGAATAAGACCCTTTTATTATTTCACAAAAAGCTACAGAGAGCACACAGAGCTAAAACCTATTTGAATTATTTTAATGTTAAGTATCTTTGTTGTCGTTTCTTGAAGTGTCTGTCATTAGTTTTGTGGAAATGAAAAGTGACTAAAGTAGTCTAAACTAAGCTAGCTCTACTTAACTTGACTCTAAGATGTAAATACTATAATGCGTATATTACATAGCAGGTTGATAAATTGTGATAGGCCTTAGTTCCATTACATGCCTTTGAAAGCCCAGATTAAAACAAGAGGTGATCAAGCCTTTCTGATTCTGGTTTTCAGATGTCAGAACATAGAAACTTGTGGTTTACGTAGAGCTTTTTCTATATCCTTGTAATTGCAATGAATAACTCAAACTACTGCATGTTGCTAGATTTAATTCAGGGACCTCTTGGCCCTTTAAGCCACAGAAAGAATAGAAGCGCCTTTTAGATACAAGCACACCAATACTAATTATTTAGTTATTTCATCAATCTATTTTCTTACTCACTTACAGTTAGACAAACTGCCCCCAGTGGCCATTAGATGTCAATGCAGCGTCCTCAGACAACACTCTGAACCTGAACTTTTCAGTTGCCTCTTCAGCACTTAATTATATGGCTGTGTGTCTCTTCTTTAATGTGTTGTTCTTTGTCTCTTCCACTAGTTCTCTCTCTTCACCACGGTTCACAAGCATTACGATGTGGATGACTGGTTGGAGTTTGCAGCAAAGCATCCTGAATGCCTGGAGGTACTCAAAGTGTTAGTCACTGTATGACAAAACATATATGTTAATTAATGGTGGCATCAATAGTAACACAACGTCCTCTCCTCCTGGTTAATCTCCCAGAGTGTCGCCCTCAGCACAGGCACCGGTGACAGCGACTTTGAGAAGATTTCAGCCGTCTTGGCTGCAGTGCCACAGCTGCACTACATCTGTGTCGATGTGGCAAATGGCTACTCTGAACACTTTGTTCACTTCGTCAAAGACGTCAGGCAGAAGTTCCCCTCACACACTATAATGGTCAGTAGAGGTCTGTTTATTGCTGTGAAACTACAGTAGGTGGGGCTAAAAGGGAATGACTGCTCATTTGTTCACATTATTTGGATAAGTAATGAATAAAATATGTTTTATTATTTTTACTTGGCTCAGGCAGGAAATGTGGTGACAGGAGAAATGGTGGAAGAGCTCATCCTGGCTGGTGCTGACATCATCAAAGTAGGCATCGGACCAGGTGATCACAGTATAACAGTCACTAACACGTCTTTGCTCCATACAGAATGTTACCACATAATCGCTTAAAGTGGCTTTGACTTTTTACGCAAACCTTGTTTGTTTAACAAAAAAAAGCTGTTGTGACTCATTGTGACTGTGGCTCAGGAGGTAGAATGGGTCGTCCCTAACCTTAAAGTTAGCAGTTCAACCCCCTGCTTCTCCAGTTCAACTGTTGAAGTCTCCTTGAACAAGATAGTGAACCCCTATTTGCTCCCAGTGATGTCACCAGTGTGTGAATGAGAAATGGTTTAAAGTGCTTTGAGTGCACTTGAATGTGTAGAAAAGTGCTGTACAAGACCAATTAACATTGATTTGTTAAAAAAAACTGTTTATACACCTTCATTTATAAATAACTTTCCTTGGAGTAGCACATGGGTGGAGTTTCATCAATCAGGTTAATTCTCATGTAACTTTCTCACCAAATTGTTTACTTTCCCATGTCAATGCTGGTTGGGATGGATATTTGCTATGTATAAGCCTCCATTCATTTGCCACATAAAGATCAAACAGAGGACACACAGTTCTTGTATATGCTATTTCCTGTTTACAAATCCAGGGCTGCAGACTAATAAGACTTAAGTCATCTCTCACCCCTGTGTCTTTCTCTGCAGGCTCTGTGTGTACCACCCGCAAGAAGACAGGGGTGGGGTACCCCCAGCTTAGTGCTGTGATCGAATGTGCAGATGCAGCCCATGGCTTGGGTGGCCATATCATCTCTGTGAGTGACTCTCTTCTGTTAATAAACCAGTACTGTAATCAAAGTTTCCACAGAATTATTGTTGTTAAATTAATAATTTGACAATGTTTCTCCTTTTTATGAAGAGTTGGATAAGAAGTTTGATTAATATGTAGCTATAGCCAGGACAGTTAGTCTACTTAGCTAAGCGCAAGGACAAGCAGAAGTATGCAGCTAGCTGGCTCTGTCCAAAATTAACAAAACACAGGGTATACCTGCACTTCTAGAGGCCACTCATTACACACAAGTTGGTGTGTGTATGGGTTTATTTCTTAGCAGGCACAGTGACTTACTGGAGTCTTGTTGCCACCATTGCAAACAGCAGAAATGTCAGGAAATCATTGTTAGGCCAAGAAACAGACTGGGACATAAGTAACTGTAAAACTGCAAATTTGTGATTTTATACTTTTTTTGTATATATAAACAGACAAGATATATCATGTTAATTTTCAACTAGCTTATAAAATAGATTTTAGCTTGTCTTGCATTCTTCTATATAGTTGTGTCTCCTTTTCTCTTCCCAAGGTCAGTGTGATTTGTTAGATGAGTATTTCACCATGAGAATGTGCAGATGTATCTTTTGCTCACATGCAGCACTGATAAACATAGTCACACTTACAACGTGATGTTTTGTTTTGTCTCTTTTCTTCTTGTCTCTTTCACACAGGACGGGGGATGTACTTGCCCAGGAGATGTCTCAAAAGCATTCGGTTAGCTTTTGAGTTTTCAATTTGTGCTCTTTTTCCAACCATAGTATGAATTGTTTTTGTTACAACAGGCTTCTCATCATTTTCAATGTGACTCCCAGGTGCTGGAGCAGACTTTGTGATGCTGGGTGGTATGCTGGCTGGACACGCCGAGAGTGGGGGCGAGATCATTGAGAAAAATGGCAAGAAGTACAAGTTGTTCTATGGAATGAGTTCCGACATGGCGATGAAGAAACATGCAGGAGGTGTCGCTGAGTACAGGTCAGAGACAAAAATATGCTTTAGCGGATGTTTCCCTGTCAGTATTGATCACTAATCCTACAGTGTTCAGTAATTCAAGTTTTTTTTTCTCCAGAGCATCTGAGGGGAAGACAGTGGAAGTTCGCTACAAAGGTCCGGTGGAAGACACAATACGAGACATTCTGGGTGGGGTCCGCTCCACCTGCACTTACGTTGGAGCAGGCAAGCTGAAGGAGCTGAGTCGTAGGACCACCTTCATCAGGGTCACCCAGCAGCTCAACACCGTCTTTGGCAGTGACAACTGAATGTTGAGCTTGACTGAAGGAAACGTCCGCAACGCTGCTTGTCTGCCTCCACATGCTGTTTGTGCACTGACCACGAGTAAACACAAACAAACATATATCAATAGTAAATAATGCCATTTTATATTTATTAAGCTGAGGTTCTTCTAGTTGGATTTTCAGTATATTGAGCAAAACAGATTTTGAGTTACATTAAACTGTAATGTTGATTTTTTCATACAAGACAGTGTTTCAGGGGCCAAAGTCTCTACACAGTGAGATGTTTGTTAAAGCAGTAACTACTTCTTCATCATTTCAGTGTGCTGAGATCAGATTCTAAGCCTTTAACCCACATAGAAAATTAAACCAAATGTCTTAAACTATTTAGAAAGTTATAATATTTCTGCAACTGCTGTGTCTAATTAGGGAATTGAACTGTTTTTAGAAATGTTATCATTCCATCACTCAATAAGTTTTGCACTTTGGTGATTTAAGATTTGTCTAATATTTAGTTTCCATTATTGTCTCATGGAAATATTCCAGCACCTATTACTGCACAGGTATTTAACATAGTTATGCTTTTATATAGTAAATAGGTGAATTAATTTGGAAGAATTTATATATGGACCATTGTATTCTGAATTTTAATATGCACAGTATATAAATGTTTTTCTCCTCTGGTTCTAGCTGCTCCTTGTCATTACCAAAGATTGTGTGGGTGTATTTTAGTGACTTCCAAATTGATTTATGATTCATGAAACCAGTAAAGTAAGTGGGCATTCCTTAAAATTAGCATGGGAAGTTTGGCAGCATCAGTATTTTGGATTTTGTTTCATCTCACACAGTGTCTGTACTTACATTTCAAACTGTTCATACAGGATTAGTGATGTTTCACTTTATTATTGTCAAACTGGTGTGAAAATTATGGTTTTATTTTAGCAAAAGAAAAATGCACTTTTTAATTCAGTTCATTTCATGTTATATTTAATTCAATCAATAAAAACATACCACATCTTAACATTTATTGACTGGATCATTCACAGTGTGCATATAATAATTTCCTTGTTTTTATTCTGAAGTAATGAGACCAGAGCTTTACAAGAAACTTCTAAGTGCAATGACCCATCCACCACCACTAGATGGAGTCAAAATGACCCTGTATATAGGCTGATTTGATTTAGAATAAAACTACAATTTTGCCCCCAAAATCTTTTTTCATAATTTGTTGAAGCCTCTACACACCAACAGTCCCACCATTGAGATCTTAGGACTGTTTTATCCATGTTTTATTGTAAATTGAGACATTGGAGATAAGCTCTCCAGTTTATTTATTTTATTACGTTTTAGTGAAAGCATAGCTACAGTTTTACAGTTGCATTCCAGTTTGTGCAGAACAAAATGTTATTGGTCACTATCAAGAAGTATCCGTATAAATGCATTGGTGGTTCAGTGGTAGAATTCTCGCCTGCCACGCGGGAGGCCCGGGTTCGATTCCCGGCCAATGCAGGAACTTAATTTTTTTTTTTTTCTCGGGTGTCTTTGGCTCAGGAACAGCATCATCCCCCAACCGGAAGGTCAGCAGGTCGATTTCCTTTCTCTCTGTTCCACATGTTGAAGAGTCCTTGGGTTGCTCCCGATGACCAGAGCAACACCTTGCAGTGATAGTGCTGTCATACGTGTGTGTGTGTGGATGCGTTTTTCCTGCTATGTGGGGACTTCTTCCTGACTCCATTTCACGGTGGGGACCTAAATTGAGGTCCCCATGGGCAAGAAATTGAATTTTAGGGTGGCAACATGGTTTAGGGTTAGGATGAGGTTATGGTTAGGTTAAGGTTAGGGTCAGGGTTAGGGTTAGGCAAGTAGTGGTTCTGGGTAAGGTTAGGGTTAGTCTACAGGAAATGCATGTAAGTCAATGTAAAGTCCCCATGGACTACAAAACATAAACTGTGTGTGTGTATGCACTCGTGTATATACACACATATACATTGAACTTATCATTTCAATGATATGCTTTTTATTGAGCCAGAGATAAATTCCTTTTGTCTAACATACTAACATATATTGATACAGACGTGTCTAAAAAGTGGCCTGTGATTGTATATTACTTGAGTTACAATGAAACATGGAGGGATTTAATAGCACCGCTAAATAAAGAGATATTGGAAGTCTTGTTAGAAGAATGTCGTGGAAAGCATTTAGTTTTGATTACGTACTTAAAGGAAACCGGAATAACCCAATAAAGGTGATTATCCTTAATAAAAAAGGTTTCTGCCTTTTCTACTGTTCCACATTTCAGTCCAGTAGGTGGCGGTAATGCACCTATTATGTTGTTGTTGTCAATCGCCAGTAAAATTTACAGAAGCTGTGTTAGTGAAAATGGCGGATCATAAAGGGGTGAGTTAACTGTGCGTTTTCAAAATATACATTTTTTTTTTTTTTAATTTGAAAACTTTTTGTTATTTCTACTGTTCACATTGTAACATCGAAGTACATGTTAAGAGTAAATGACAGCTTATAGGCCTACTTAGGACAATGGTTTGCATAAGTTTGATAAGTAAAGGTTGACTTAGGTTTCAAATTTAATTCTTTGTTCTATTTATAAATTAATATGACATTGTAGAATAATCCGGATTACGTATATCTTTTTGAAGATTATTCTTAAGTAACGTGACTTTTTAGCTGAAAAATGCATCTTAACGAAACTGAGATCTGAGCATGTGGAAATAGAAGCTTTGAAATGTTTTATTTGTTTACTTCCAGCTCCATGTTACAGTTTGCCATGAAGGTGATTTGCCTACACCAATTTATCTAGACTCAGATGAGTGGCAAGGTCGGACAGTACCCTGCTGTAGTGGCACATGTGCAGACCGATGGGAGATCTGCTATAAAACATGCAGGTAGTTGGCATGGTCAGAAAAAATGTTATGTTTTAAATAGAGTATGTATTTACAACTTATTTATTAGTGATAGTAAACGTTTTTACTTCTAAACTGATTTACTGATCATTGTTGTGAACACTCACAAAAGAAAAATATGAGTGATTGTGATTTATACAATTTATAAATGCCATCTAGGATGTGTGAAAAACTGCCACTATCACTGTTGCTATTGTCCAAGGATTGTAATCAACCAAATGCTTATATAAAGCATGTGCAACAGTGTGGGGACATGTGTTGCCCACATTCCAACAACAAGGCCCACCATGGCATCTGTAATTTTCACTCCATCCACCATTCCATCACCTGACCATACCCCAGAAGTGTCTGGCTCTGACTCTGCTTACATACTGTGTAACATTAATATCCATATTCATCGGCCAGTCTGACAGGTGGCAAGACTTATGTCAGATGCAGATCGAGACCAAGACTGTATTAGACCCCCTAGTCTGAGAGTGTGACCCCTTCCCTTCATTACACCCTCTGTTGCCAGTGTTATGTGTCAGTGTTTTTAATGTTTCATCACTCATGATTAAATGACATACTCAAGCTGGTTTTGTTATGACTTTGAATATATTGCACAAAAAATAGAAAAGCAACATGACAATCTCATGTTATCCAGCCACATTACTAAGCTTCTTCTAATAAAGATAGTTTCTGACAGATAATTCTTTAAGAATTCAGTTACATTCAGTTTATAACCTGCCATAATAAAGAATATATAAGGGTAGAATATGGTACACGGTTACATATATTTCTTAAGAGATATTCATGCTCTCTCTCCCATGTTAAGGAGGTCAATATCAAAATGATTAATCAACGAGAGTCCAAATGAAAACTATAAATTCAGGACATCTCAGACAAACCTACCACTTCCTAATAAGTCAGTAAGGATGTCAAACCAGGTTACGCTCTGACGGGGCTCTTTGGGCTCTGTCAGTCTCGGCCGACTCTGTACTCTGCCCTCTGCGGCTGCCAGAACTCAGCACCTTCAATAATGCGGCGGATCATGGAGGCGGATGTGATAAGCAGGTGCCCAGCAGCGTGAAGGAGGGTGGAGGCTACACGTAGGACTTCTCTGAAAAGCAGAACCGAGGTGAAGTGTGCTCAGTGTGTTTTTGTAAGGCACATCTAATATCAGATGGCTAAGCTTTTAATCACCAGCACTGGCACTGATTTTTGAAAAAGCTTATTGCCTTCTCATTCTCATTGCCTTGTCAACCTAGCAGTTTGTTCTATGACAAAGTATTTTCATATCATCTTATGAGTAAAAAAATGAATTTGCTATTAACATTTGCTTGTAGCATTTTTACAGTGCTGTGCTGGTACGTTTTTCTATTGTGACCTTTGACCTCTTCCTCTCGATTTACCTGAGGACTTTCTTGGGCCCTAGACACTGGAAGTCGGCGCTCACAGAGTACAGGCCTTGGAATGTTGCCTTCACACTTAGAGAGCCAAACAAATCCTTTGAGCTCATCCTGTAAAGGTCAAAGGTGACGCGAGCTATGTCTTTCCCAGTCCTTGGTTTGTTGTTGTGAGATTTATACACAACTGTACCCTGTATAATCAGAGACAGGCGTCACATATATTAAATACTTGAGATCTGTATGCCATGCAGGGGAAAAAGTATGTTTCAAACCTACTAAATCTGTTTTAAAGAAGTCTGTGTAAGGTATAATATATGGGGCTATATAATGAATAATATTTTGCTTCTTTGATCCAACGTACCGCCTGTGGTCTCCATGTCTGTCCAGGCTCCAGAGCCATGAGAATGGTGTTGTCGGGCAGAGTGATAAGGAAATCATCAGAGTCCACCTCTGTACCATCCTCCTCACAAACCAGGCACAGAGACACTGCAGACAGGGACAGCAGCAGCGCCTGACATACCTGCACCACAGATTCAGTCACTGTCACACTCAAAGAGCCTTTGGTATAAATATGCAGTATAAAATAAGCTTTGATGTCCCAAATAAAATAGATCTACTTGTTTTGATAGTAATATAACTTATACAGCATACAGTATTTATTGTAATCATGGATAAAACAGCAGAAAGAAACAGACCCTAGGGAAACTATGTTAACGTCTACATAAAGTAACATGCAGAAACAAAAGTAAATTCAATCAGGCTGTTAACTACACTGTAGATATTTTATCAAAGTTGACTCCTGATTTCATGTGAACATTATCATTGCCTGTAGATAACATCACATCCTCTCAGTGGATTTAAGACCATTATTGTTAATTCACTTGTTGAAACACTGTTAACTGACTTTAAAAAACACCTTTCAGCTTTTAGTGTTTTTGATTTTAACATTACTTTTTTAAAATGTTTTTTGTCCTATTTTTCCATATTATATATAACCTGTAGGTAGCTCTGATCAGGAATAAAGTTTTTGTTTGTTTCTTCCCATTCCATTTTGTTTTATAGTCACTCTCACCCTCTCTTTCAGCTCCTCCAGGGTCCCAGCTGTGATGCCCTTCCTGGTCTCCCTGTTGTGACAACACACCCTGAAAGGGCGCTGTGGTGGGGACCACACTCGCTTGGTCACTGTTCTGAGGACAGACGTGAGAGAAAGGTAATCACATTATTTCATTTGCTGAGCTACATTCATTATTTAATAAATGTTCTGTCTGGATGCTTTGAGATTTTCACAACAAACTGCCATAAATCCTATAAATGGCATTCAGCCATCACTGATTTTATTATTTACACTTGTACTTCCTACTGTAATGTGAAAATATGCTTTGTGAAAGAGTCTCTTAATAGTTTTGCTTTTGTCCTCATTTTGAGCTGAAGAAAGTAAACATTTCAAATCCAGTTATTTTTTAATACCTCACCAAAACTATTATAATAGGCCAATACTTCAAATTTCATAGTAACCCTAAAATTATATATTGTATCATTAAGTTAATTATATACTTATTTAAGTATCACCTACATTAGTCAACAGCTCCACTAAAGGCTGTTGACCAAGCTATGGGATCATGAAGCAAATCAATACAATATAAACAGGGCAAAACAACTCTTTACTTACTTGATAAATGAAGATGTGGATTCCATTGTGGTCAGCCTCCTGCTCTCTCTCTTCACAGCTGTCTTTTTGTAGGGTGTGATTGGAATAATGTCAGTACTCCGTGTGTTTAACCCAGCAGCTGGACTTTGCTCAGAATCTGGTGACAATTACAGAGCAGAACAGAACAAAGTTCATGCGGCTTGAATGTCTGATGTATGAGACAAGCAAAATAATTACCTTTATAATACAACCAATACTGTATATTGACTCAAACTTTAATAATCTTGTTCATATATAAACATATAACAAACAATTTTGACAAGTATCCCTAATATATGATTCTTTTTTCAAAGAATTGTGGCCTTAATATATAGCGAGTTGGATATTTTACAGTTAAATTAGACTGTTAAAATGTAATAAAACTAAACTAAATGACTCCATGTAAAAGCAATAAAAGAAAAAAAACAACTGTGGCAATAAAAACATAAAACAAGGTTAGAAATTAAAACTGTTTGCTATTAATTTATGAAAGGCATTTTAAAAAGATAAGTCTTAAGAAGTGTTATAAAAGAAGTCCACAAGTCTTGTTTTAAGGGATATAGATATGACAGTATTTGATTTGATTTGATTTATTCTTTCAAGCATGTAAAAACAGTTGATATGACAACACACATACACATAATCCAATATCAATTTGCTTATACCTAGTATGGAGCAGGAAGAAGTCAGACTTATCCAGTCCTACCCCATTACATCATCTTACCATCATTGGTTTGCAAGCAGTATCTCTACATAGATAATTCTCTTCTACACCACACAAGTAATATACTAAAGAATTATAACAGAGTATTAACATTCATACACCACACCCACAATGCTCCATCTAATTAATCATTGAGCCTGTTCTTGCATATATCTTGATTGACACATACCTTCATACTTATGTTTAAACTCATCAATTCCAGTACTATTTTTTATGTCCACACTTAAATTATTCCATAGTTTTACCCCACTTACGGAAATACAAAATCTTTTTTTGGTTGTACGTATTGCATGAATTTTTAAATTTAACTGACCCCTTAAATTGTATCCCCCTTCCCTTTCATTAAATAGTTTTTGAATTCCACCAGGTAATAAATTGTTCCTGGCTTTATACATAAACACAGACGTCTTATCAGTCAGTTAAAGCAGCAACGTCTATAAAGCCAAAATCCCAAATACTATACAACGTAACAAGCACTTCCCTGCTGCAGGGATCCATTTTCTAACCTATAACAAGGTGCCAGGTGCAGACGCAGCTCCACTGTGTTATTGGTGGCTTCAAACTTCTCGCTGTAATAGAAACATGTTTTGAGTAATGATTCATATCAAAAATTCTTTAATTTACATAAACCTTCAGTTTTTTGCAAGTGCTGTGCTGATACTTGTATTCACTTATATTGGAGTTTTAGATACCACTAAAGCAT